ATATTGAAGCAGAATCAGTGTTGAGGTGTCTGTTCATGAGAAATACAGCAATGACCAAGAATATTAATATTTTACAAGGCAACTATTAACTTTTCATATTTTTTCAGCTTCGATTGTTGTCTCTTCCTCGTGCTTTGAAGGATGTGCAGCCAGGAAGAGTATTGCTTATTACTTATGAAGAACATGTCAACAAATTAGCATTGCTTCTCAAGTTGGAAACACAGAAACGGGAATACAAGTATCATGTGCTTGTGTTGTGCAATAATGAAAATGACTATAGTGGAGATGGAGAAATTCGGCTTTCTGTGAAAACTGAAACAAAGAAAGAAGAGAAAAGAAAAAAATCTGCCATGTGGTATAAAATGTTGGGATTAGTGAATTATGAGAAGGTCTTTGTTCCTGATGGAATTAGTGAACATGCAGTTCTAATTATAGGGCCTAATGATATTTTTGAGATTACCACAAAGTCCATTAAAGTGAACACAGAACTTATATTGAATGACTGGCTTCAAAGACAGCAGCCTCGTTTTAAGTGAGTTTGCACTATTTTCTTACCTAATGAATATTGATACATTGTTCTATTTTACCTCTTGTAATTTGCAGTGGTTAGAATTATGCAAGCCAGGTAATATTCTATAATGTAATAATCATCACAATTGAGACCTAGAATTTTCTGTCAGTGAGGAAAGTTATTGACTAATTATATCTTGAGGTGTGTTATTTTATTTTGCTGAAATTTTTTGCACAGCTAATAGTAGAAATCAGAAAACACCATTTCCTAAAAATGTATTTGCAGATTTGTTGTTAGCAGGAAAAGTGAGAACATAAATTAGATATAATTAAATAGGTTAAAAAATTAGAAAACAAAAAAGAAATTTAATTCTAGGGAATTTAAAGTTGAAAACATATCATGGGAAAGGGTATCCCAGAAACAATAGAAAGAGAAAAGGATAAGACCTGACAGTTTTCGTGAGATGATCATGAATATTTACAACTGTTTAAAACCAAAATTCTGTTTTAATGCTTTACGAATTTACCACCACCACCACCACCAACAACAACAACAACAACAACAACAACAACAACAACAAAACAAAACAAACAAAAAAAAGAGGTAAAAGACAGCAGAAAATCTAGATAAAAAATAAACTGTAAATAATTGTTATTGTGACCTACATCTTCAATGAATATTTTAATAATTTTTACTTGTGTACTCAATGTGTACTTGATTACATATAATGAGAGTCCACAAAGGGAACTTTATTTATGTATGTATGATGTAAAATTTTATTTTAATTTTCAACAATATTTTATATTTCGGTAATATTTATTTTTTCTTTTATTACAGAGATAAGGAACCAGGACCATCATGCATGCAAGCAGTGCAAGAGTTAACCCAGATGTCTTTGAATTGTTCTGAAACATCATTCGTTCAACTTTATAAAGATAAAATTAATGATATTGACTTTGTTAAAAAATTAAAAAGAATGGAAGTATTGTTGGGTCGAGTCCAGAGTGTAAAAGTTGCTAACTATCCTCATTTTACTGAAGAGGTAAGATCATTTACTGATATGCAAGTTTCAATAGGCAAAATGAATAAATATTCTCTGATCTTCTGCCAGTTTAATAAAAAGTAATGAACATTTTTTATTGATGCTTCACTTAACTGTTTGACTACTTTCATGCATGTGTATTTGGCTGATTGCAACATGTGAGATATATTGATAACAGTACAACCACTATGATTGTTGATTGATAATGAAGCTTGGAATTTCCTTCCATATATATTGCTATGAAACCATTGTTGACCTTGGGGTGTCTGTAAACCTTCCTCGATGTTCAGAAGTTGAAGAATGGCTCATGCCATTTTCTTAAAAGGAAAAAAGAAATAGAATGCATAAACTTCTTCAAATAAAACACAACAAATTAGATTATATGCATTGGCTTGCAACATGATAAAAAAGAAAGATCTACCAGTTTGATGTTACTTGATTTCCATCAGTCCACATTAAAGTTACACTAGCCCATGTCTGTCCTTAAGCCCCCCTCCTTCCACCTGCTCCACTCATGTTCGATGGGAAATGTGAAGTTTTTCGCAGCAATGGCATTTCGCATGACCAAAATGCAACCAACACTGTCTTTTGTGGCACAATTACCAATTTAATGGCATCAGGAGCACACCAAGAACCAACAAAGACTCACTGAACTTTGGGGGGCATTGACTGCATTAAATCTTTTCCAATTGCTCTTTATTAAATGTGTGAATATAGATCATTCTACAACTAAAAGTAATACAATAGAAAAGAAAACTTTATATCAGTAAGATACACATTCTCTTCTACAATCATAAAGGATTCATAGTAACTTCCAGTTACATTATTGGAAGTTCATTTGTTCAGTCAAATGAAGGTTTTTCTTGCCATGTAAACATTGCTGATGTAAAGTTCATCATTTTTATTGTAATAGTATTACAAGTGATTTTTTAAATTTAAGTTATTGTAATTTAAGCTTTGAATGCATTTTTACAGTTTGAGTCAGTTTTCCTCAGAAGACAGCTTGAGAAAGAGAGGGATAATTTTAAGCATTTGCAATCTCATCAAAGCATGACTTTATATCCTGATTATCAAAGTAAAGTGCAGGTTTTAAAAAATATGGGTTATATTAATGAAGATTGTGCAGGTAAAGTATAAATACTAAAATGAGAGTGTGTGTTAAAGTGCATTGTGTGTTATAAGTAAATATAATTTCATTCATTCTGGGTGCCTTAGTTGATATGAAAGGAAATGTTGCAATTAAAATGAGAAATCATGAGCTACTCATCACAGAAATAGTCCTTCGCAACATTTTGACTGATTTGCCACCTGCAGAAATTGCAGCTCTCTTGTCATGCCTAGTCTGTCAACAGAGAACTAGATTCAAGGATGATAAAGATCCTCAAAAGGATTTAGGAGTCTCCCTTAAGGATGTAAGTGCTACATTTTATTATTATTATTATTTGAACAATTAAGTTTTTTACATTAGTTATTTAGAAATACCTAGAATCTTATTCACAAAGTGCAGTGAGTGAACAAGGAAACTGTCTTTTCCTTTGATTATTATTTCCCTTGTCACATTGTGTAAATGCTACATTTTCCATTATTTTGTGTTACAGGGTATAAAAAAAATTAAAGAAATTGAGAATACTATTAAGAAAGAAGAAAAGAATTGCAACGTCGAGCAGTTGCCAGCTATTAATCAGGACTTAAGCTTTGAACTAGTACGTGTTGTTTATGAATGGGCTAAAGGAAAGGTAAGATTTAATTGAAAAAGAAATTTAGTTGACATGGATTTCTTAAAAAAATTATAATTGTGTGCAGGTCTCAGAATTTAGGCCAGTTTAAAACATAATTACCTATCAGACAAAATTTTGACAAGTATTTAACCTTCAGAGCTATTATCGATAATTATAATTTACCTTTGGATGTGCTAGTTGGGAGATTGTTTTAAGGAACACAGATGTGTACAGCCTATAACATGAAGGGACCAAACTACATTTTTGGACCCCCTTTTCTATTTAACTTCTTCTTGCATATACCAGGAAACAAGTAAAACATACAAGGACAATGAAATTATAAATTTAATGATACAGTTAATAGATCAACTGAGTTAATGTTTAGCCTTTTAGAGGGTTGAGAGATGGCTTGAAAAACATCTCCCCAAAATGCCATTTAACTATTCCTCAAATTTGGGGTAAATCAGGATTGAACTGATTCACTGAAGTAAAAGGTTTCATTACAGAAGGCTATGGGGCTCCATCCAATTTTCAAAATTTTCAGAGAGGGCAATGGCCTCCTGCATGAATTTCTTTGCTTAGGAATTACATGGAAAAAATACAAAGTTTAGCACAATGTCAGAATTAGTGATTTACAGTTATGTCAAAATAAGTGATTGTTCAGTGCATTCAAAGATAAGAAATATTAACAAACATAATCAAAATAAATCCTTGGCATTAATTTGTATACATTCCTTCTATTTTTGTTCTCACAATTATGCTGAGAAAAATTTTGAACTTCTAGTTAGGAGGAGCATGCTGCTGAATTTTCATAAAAAGAAGGCTCAATAAAACCGAGAAGCCATCATACACATCCAGACATTCACTTTGTGTATTGCTCTTCACAAATTAATAAGGCTGGCTTTGCTTATTTAACTTCTGTTCAGTCTGTGAGTGAAATTGTGGCAAAAGTGCACATTTAGGATGGTTACAGTAAGATAATGGGGATGGCAAAAATCACAGAGGTACAGTTGGAAAAATGTTGGTACTTGAATATCAGTTTGGTATTTTTGACTAGCCACCTTTGATTACTATTCAGCAAATTGCTTTGAAATTGTGAAGTGTGTTGGTACAGAGAGAACTTTCCTTTTTGTATATGTTCCTGGTGGAGTGTTGTACAGGATAAAATACTTTTGTTAAGCAATATAAACTAGACTATTTAATCCAAGTTATTTATAACGAGTTGTATTTATAAAAATTTCACCTGTTTTTCTTCCCCTTTTTTCAGCCATTCTCTGATATTATGACCTATAACGTGGATGTCCAAGAAGGCATTATTGTGCGTTGTATTCAACAGCTCAGTGAAACAATTAACGATGTCAAGGATGCTGCAAGTACTATTGGTAACACACTATTAAAATCAAAAATGGAAGATGCTCAGAAAGCAATTAAACGTGACATAGTGTTCCTAGCCAGCTTATATACTTCAGATACAACCTTACCAAAACAAGATGAAATAGATAATGAAAACAAGGATGAATGAGTTTGGTAATGTTTTATTAAATTAAAGGCTTATTATAATTGTAATAAATTATGCACAAATCAATATAATTTATTAATATTTATTTTTCAACTTGATGGAATATACAATGAAAAATTGTAAAAAAAGAAAACATTAAACTATGAAATGTAGAGAAAGTTTTATTGAACTTGAACATCAAAGACCCAGTTAACCTATTGCCAAGATTATTTACAGAGCTCTTTGTTCATTACCTGCCATTTGACCTTGCCCTTTAGAAACTTCGCTAATGCATATCCACTGACCTTCATTATTTTCTCTCCATAAACTAACTTTATTATCCCCACCAGATACAGCTAAAATATTACCATTGAGAGACCAGCTTACATTCCATACAACGTCATCAAAAGTATTCAGCACTGTCGAATTCCATTGCACGTTATCGTCACTTGTCCAGATTATTACACGTCTATCTTGAGAGCAACTTGCAATAGTACTGCGAGGTAATCCAATAGAAGGTGCCCAAGCAACATCTCTAACCCAGTCTGAATGAACTTCAAGTTTAGTTTCTTCAACCCATCGATCACCTTCTTCTTTCCAGATTTTAACTAAATTGTCACAACCGCCGGTCACAATCCTTTTAGGAGGAAGGCTAGGGCGAGCAGATGATGTAGGATCAAGTGCAGGATTAATTGAAGTTGCAGGACACCAACTCACCGCATTGCATCCAATTGTATGAGCATTCGTGATTTTCTTGACTTCCCAACTTCCATCTGGGTTGCTAATCAAAATTGACACAGATCCGTCTGAACTACCACATGCTAAGATTAAGCCGAATTCGTGAGGTGCCCACGCCACAGAATTTACGGATGAATCGTGGCTGTTATACTCATAGAATTTCTGCCACTCGCCTGCTTCTTTCCAGATAATAACTTTCCTATCGTACGAACAAGACGCCAGAAGATTTCCATACTTTGGATGTGCCCAAGCTACTTGCCAAACAGGTCCGTAGTGTCCCTTCAAATCAGCTTTCAAACTTTGGGTTCCGTTTCTAATATCGAATATTTTAACTGAATGATCTGATGAACATGTTGCAAGGCGAAGGCCGTAATAATCCATTTCGGCATCGTGGATGATGTCTTCGTGGCCTGTGTCCACAGTATTTAGAACTGAAACCATTTTCAAGCGTCTGTCAACGTGGAGAGTAAAATAATCCTCTTTTCAAGAATGCTTTTAAGTTTTTCGGAGGACACGTTTGACGCGAACACCACTCCCTCCACTCCAACCAAATCCAACCTCCGCTTGTCCACTATTTTTCTACATACGTGGAGGATCAGTTTATAAAACTTAACGCACCAAAGCAACCTTACTCTCTGGACCAAAGTACATTCAGATGTTGGCACGCATGTTTAAAGCCCGCCAAAATATCGAAGAGTGAGCAGGACATGACACAAACAGCGACAGATAATTTGGGCTGATTTGGGTGCTATAGTTATCATAAATATTGTGGTCAGATTGTGGTTTCGGTGAAACACGAAACAGTAAAGTGAATGATGTGTTTAGTACGAAGGTTAGAATAAGTAGATTAGGGAAAAGTTATTGTGTATATCGTTTTCAAGATGGTTTTGCAAAACAGTGGCAAATACCGATCAGAGAAAAAAGATACTGGAAAGTCATCGGGGGGGTCGAGGTAATGTGTGGTGCTTATACACATAATTATCTATTGAATTATGACAATGAAGAATAGGAGGCTGTATACTTATAGTTATTAGAATATTTGTGTGCAATGAGTACTGAGTACATGTCAACAAAAGCATAATGAAAAATGTAATTTTTCAGAGAGGATACATCAGAATTACGAATTAGAGAAGCTCAGGAAAATGATGTTATTGACGCAAAGTATGGTTTTGAAAGAGTTTCTGATCACTGTGAACGTGTGGGCTTCCTCATTAACATGCACACGGTTGGTTTCCACATTTCTTTAATTTTTCTTTATTTATGCGACATGTTGAAAGTTATTTTCAAAATTTATTTTCCTTTGTTCTTCAGACTGAAATATTGGATGAAGATAGGAAACTTGTTAGTGCTGTTGACTACTATTTTATTCAAGAAGATGGAAGTCGCTTTAAAGCATCCTTACCCTACAGGCCATATTTTTATATTCTTCCAAAAAAGGATTGTATTCAGGAAGTTATTGGATATCTTACAAAGAAATTCAGTGGTTTATTACTGAAAGTAGAAGTTGTTAGTAAGGAAGATCTTGATTTAGTAAGTATCAGTGTTCTAATATAATTTTTACCAAATTTTGTTAACTGGGGTGGTTTTAGTTTTAAATTTTGTGCTGTGTGATCTTTAATTAAGTAATACTTGAATTTGTAGCCAAACCATCTGATAGGTCTGAAGCAAAAATTTATAAAACTTGCTTTTGCTACGGTTAATGATCTTGTGAAAGTGCGTAAAGATATAGCAACAGCTGTAAAAAAGAACCAAGAAAGAGAAAAGAACAACACATATTACACAGAAATGTTGACTTCAGCATTAGCTACTAAAGGTGATGCAGGAATAAGTAAGAAAATTACAGATCAAATGGAAAACATTCTTGACATAAGGTATTATGCAATATTTTTGCTATCCCAGTTATTGCATTTATAAAGGCATTTTTTATTAGAATGTTCTATTTCCAGAGAATATGATGTTCCATACCACATAAGAGTTTCTATTGACAACAAAATATTTTGTGGTTCATGGTATTCTGTCAAAAGTAGAGGCACAGAAAATCCTATTATTACCAAAAGGGATGATATTATCGAAAGACCTGACCTAATTGTCCTTGCTTTTGACATTGAAACTACTAAACTGCCATTGAAATTTCCTGATTCTAACACTGATCAGATAATGATGATATCATATATGATTGATGGACAGGTAAATTTTATTTTTAATAAATAGCATTTCTTCTGCAAATATTTAATAACATGCACCGCTTAAGTAACATTATTTGCACAACCCACTGCAGATTACATTTATTTCAATGATTGCATCATTCTAATCTCTTTCTTTTCAATAAACATGTTACAACTTATACTTTTTTGTCAATGTTTAGGGTTATTTGATTACAAATCGTGAAATAATAGCTGCTGAAATAGAGGATTTTGAGTACACACCTAAACCAGAGTTTGAGGGCATGTTTACAATTTTTAATGAAGAAAATGAAGTGGCACTATTGCGGTGCTTTTTTAATCACATAAATGAGATAAAGCCTCATGTATTTGTGACTTACAATGGAGACTTCTTTGACTGGCCATTTGTAGAAACTAGAGCAGCATTTCATGAAATTGATATGAAACAACAAATTGGGTTTGCAAAATCTCGAGATGGGGTTTACACTTGTCGTGCTTCTATGCACATGGATTGTTTATGGTATGAATATCTTTTTTGACTTGAACAAGTTGAATCAATTTTTTTCAATGATCATTATCTTTGTGTTTGTCGATAAATGTTATCTTGTCATATTTTCTCTTCATTTTTTTAGTTGGGTAAAACGAGATTCGTATTTACCAGTTGGTTCCCAAGGGTTAAAAGCTGTGGCGAAAGCAAAATTGCGTTATGATCCTGTTGAGTTAGATCCAGAAGATATGTGTAGGCTGGCTTCTGAACAACCTCAGGTTTTATCAAACTACTCAGTGTCTGATGCTGTAGCCACATATTACCTATACATGAAATATGTTCATCCTTTTATTTTTGCATTGTGTACTATAATTCCTCTGGAACCTGATGAAGTGAGTTTACTTGTACGTGAAGGTTGCTTGGCGAAAGGAAATGGTATGACTAATGCTATCAGTAGTTCCTGAAATAAATAAGAAAATATTGAAATATCTTTCCATAGTAAAGAAGGTTAACATAATGGTATTCATCCGGGTTGATTGTTGTTTATTTAAAATACTTCCTTTGACTCATATTGAAGTTTCATAATGATTCTTACCATTTCATTTCCCAGAGCAGTTTATTTTGGCAAGAATTCTGTCAGGAGAAAAATGGGCATACTTCATTTATTTGTTGTCTAGGTCTTGCGTAAAGGATCTGGAACTTTGTGTGAATCCTTGCTCATGGTGGAAGCATTTCATGCAAATATAATATTTCCTAACAAACAACAGGCAGAGTACAATAAGCTGACAGAAGATGGACATGTACTTGATCAGGAAACCTATGTTGGTGGCCATGTGGAAGCTTTAGAATCTGGGGTATTTCGAGCAGATATACCATGCCGATTCAAGTTGGTAAGGCTCTTTTTCTTTTTGAATGTTGAATATAGAGTTTTTAATATAATAGTTAATATTTGTTATATTGATTTGTATTTTGTAGTTTTAAAAACCAATTTCTGTTAGTTGTTATCAAGTCGTTACTCAAATCAGTAATAGACTTAATAAAAATGTATCCTGAATCACATTGAAAATGCTGAGATGATTCACAATTATGTCTTGGCAACAACTTAAGTTTAACTCTCTCTGCCCTGACGATTTATTCAATTGATCAGTGTGCTCCCTTTCCATGATGCAATCCCGTGTTTGATTCCCGGTTGGGCAAGATTATAGTGTGCTATGTCCCAATACGTGTTACTATGTGACGATGAGAAAACTCACTTCCCAGGTTGAGAAGAGCAGAATACAGCGTAGGAATGTTTTCATGCTAACCACACAATTCTTCCATCTTGAAATTCCATCAATAAGGGTTTTTCCCTTTTAACCTTAAATGTTTTGTGCATATACATAAAAGTATTGAGGTGTGTGCAAGGCATGGTCAGGGCAGCGATGATCAATTGAGAAAAAGGGTGAGGTGGGGGCATACTGGCAACTTCTTTTCCTATCTAGTTGTGGTAAATATCTTGGCAACACCAAATTATTTATTCCACAGACTTTTAGACCTTGTGTGGTATGTACGGGATAATTTTTCATTTCACACAAATTTCTATATTTCTACATTAATTGCTTAATTAATTTCTTCTTTGGAACGGTGCTAAGTTTTCTGAATTGTTCATCTCCACAGAAAATACAGAGAAAGTCAAAACTATCTAAAGTATACATTAATGACCCAGTGAGGCTCCAACGATGGTCCACTTACCTAATAAGGTTCATAATGCACTAACAAATATATAGACCAAACTTGTGGTGATCCATATCTGCACTCACTGTTGCCAACAGCTAATAATTAACAAAATATCTTTAAAAATGTCTCAGTGGAGTCCCAGGAGGACCCCGCCTGGACATTTAAGGGTTAAGATGTCAAGTAAAGACCATTGAATGTGATGTGTTTTGTAATATGTTTTATATATGCTTTAATGAAAAAATATTTCAGGTTCCAGAGGCTTTTGACACTTTAATGAGTGGTGTTGAAGGTGCCATGAAACATGCAATTGAAGAGGAAGAAAATATTCCTATGGACCTAGTTGTAAATTTTGATGAAGTTGTTTCAGAAATTAAAGAAAAATTAAAACACCTGAAAGAAAACCCTATTCGGAATGAGAAGCCTATTATATACCATTTAGATGTTGGTGAGCTGCGAGAACAATTTTCTGTTTTAGCCTAAGAAATAGAATTGAAAAGAAATAGTGATAATTGAGAGGTTTGATGAGGTCACTAGAAATATTGGAAAGGATATCGATGTCGATCCCAGCTGTCGTGAAACTCCGGTAGCAATTGAAAACGGTTTTTCAACTGATTTGCATTGATGTTTGAAACAATACTGAGATGGTTGTTTTAGCCTGGGACAGTAAATTTCCTTCTTAGCGATCACCAGTACACATAATTTTTTCTGTTGTAATGAATATGTGAACTAGACATATTTCTGATTTTGTAAAGAAAGCTTTTGTGGATTAATTATAATTAGGGTGGTCCTGGAAGTTTTAAAGAGTAAAGAAAAGTGAACAATTTGTCAAACGCAACAAATTTGGTATACTGATATTGGAATTTAATATTTTCTCCTTCAAGTTTGGGAAGTTTTACATTAATTACAATTGAACAAGCTGAAGGTTTTCTAAAGAAAGCTTTTATTAGTTTACTATTCTCTGCTAAGTTTTTGTCTCTCATCTTCTAACCGTTGTATATTTTCAATACCAGAGTCAGTCAATACCTTTTATCACTTTGGCCAGGGGTCGGTGCCATTAGTAATCAGGGTTCCCAGATGGTCACCCATTCAGGAATTTGAGATCTTAAGTTGTTAACTTTCGTGACTTCACAGAGCATAGTTAAGCAATTCAGCTAACGTCTTTGGCCATTGGAACCATTATTGCAATGTTATTCTGTAGTTCATGAAATGTTCAGTAAATGTGACATTATTGGGATGAAAATGTTATAAGAGAATAATTGAAAAAAAACTTCCTTCTTGCAATTTAAATATTATTTCATTTTGTGCTTTGTTTATTGTACAGGTGCAATGTACCCAAACATTATTCTAACAAACCGCTTGCAACCATCGGCTATGGTTGATGAGACAGTCTGTGCCGCATGTGACTTCAATAGGCCTGGAGCTGCATGTCAACGTAAAATGGCATGGATGTGGAGAGGCGAATGCAGTAAGTTTTATTCCAGTATTAGTAGCACGTTGTTCAAGATATTGAAATTGCCATTCAATTGTGTCATTCAAATGTTCAAAGCATTATTATCCATAGAAAAAATGAGTTTCTTGGTTGTACATAAAATGTTCTAAATAATTTCTCAGTTCAATCCTTAAATGAAAATGAAACAATTTAATTTGAATGTAATTATTGAGAAAGCTGCCACATTGTCATTTTTTTTTTTTTTAATTCTCCGACATTGACCACTGTTGATCTATGTGTAATTTTTGTGCTGATGTTTTCATTATTGGACATTTGAGTTTCTCAGTATTGTGTTGTGTAGCGTACTTTCATTTGTGTCATATACTATAACAGTAATTTTTAGAAAAAATTTAAAAAGTCTTTTTAGTGTTTGTTTTTATTTTACTTAGGGTCTTCACATTTTATACAATTGTTTGAGTGTTTCCATCCCACTTCTTTTGCCCATAGTTTCATTTTATTGTAAATCCTGAAGACGTGGAAGGATTATTTCACAATGTGTTTTTACTAGTTTTAAATNTTTTAATGTATTTCAAGTTGTTTTTAATTTTGATTCTCTGTAAATAATGAAAAGATTCCACATTTGAATAATATAAAGACAGTCATTTAAAAGAATGTATTAGTGTGTCATTTACAATGTATTTGAATTCACAAACTTAAATTATCACTTGATACAGTTACAATTATTAATAGTTAGTTTTGTGTGAGTTATGAATTAACATCTGTTTCGGCTTAAATACAAAATGTCTTGGCTTACCAAAATGTGTTCTCTTGATAACATTTCTAAAATAAAAAATAATTTGTTAATAAAGTACTTGGATGAGTTTTAATATTCAGATGCAAACACATTTGATGGTCACAAGTCACATTTTCACCAAGTGTTTGTGCATTTCTTTTCACAGTGCCTGCTTCTCGTAATGAATTCCATCGAATACAGCAGCAGCTGGAGACTGAGAAGTTTCCTCCCCAGTTTCCAGGAGGTGCAATGCGAGCTTTTCATGAGCTCACTACTGAAGAACGAGCAACTTATGAAAAGAAACGGTTAACAGAATACTGCCGCAAAGCATACAAGAAAGTTCATGTGACTCGTATAGAGGAGCGTTACACAACTATTTGTCAAAAAGAGAACAGTTTTTATGTTGATACAGTGCGAGCATTTCGGGACCGTCGTTATGAGTATAAAGGACTCAGTAAGGTACAGAATTGATCTTACTTTAGAATATTATTTTATTAATTTATTTGATAACTGGGCAATTCAAAAATTGTTATTGAATTGTATAATTTATTATTGCAGGTAGCTAAAAGAGAAGTAGCTGAGGCTGTTGCAAAAAAAGATGCTGCAGAAATAAAGTCTGCAAAAAACAAAGAAGTACTGTATGACTCTCTGCAATTAGCTCATAAATGTATTTTAAATTCTTTCTACGGTTATGTGATGAGGAGAGGGTAGGTACTGTCATCTATTAATATTATTAATAATAATAATAATATTAATATTATTATTAAAATAAAGATAGCCAAGATCGCTTCGGTACTAGTGTCATGGCACTCTCGGATGGAAGGATCACGGGTTCATGTCTTGCTTCGAGCATGGGTGTGTTTGTGTGTGTCATCCATTCATCCTTCATTATTATCATTATCATCTTTGTCATCATCATCATTCCATCTTTCATCCATCCAGGACTATCAATCCTGGGAGATAAAAATTGAATTCAGCATAATGCTGATCTCCCCAAAAAAAAGTGTCTCATACATTTGCCACAGATAAATGTTACTGAGCCTCGATATGTGCAGGTGTATGTCTGCATGGTCCTAGACAGCCAATTCATGACACCCACACACACACACACACACTCGCACGATGATGATGATGATAATGATAATGATAATGATGATAATAATAATGAACAATAATAAAGAATTTTATTTGCTTATAGACTTATACAGTGATAAGTTTCAAGCATCGTCAAAGTGAAATAACTTGAAATGGTATTAAACAAAAATTAACACATAATATACAATTTAAAAGAAAATACAGAAAGTACTTAAGACACAATCATACAAAATAATTTATGAGACTAATACATTTTCTAGTACGTTGGTTCTTTTAATTTATAGGGGCACATTCCTATTAAATACTTTGACATCAAGTCATCAAATTTCTTTTCTTCACATCTTTTATATTGTTAGGAAGTTTATTATATAATAAGATGGCTCTGAGGGCTTTTATTTGTTAAGGCTCTAGACGCAAGTATCCTGTGGTAGTTTTCTTTACCTCTAGTTCTATAATTATGCAAGTGTGAGCTTGATTTCTTTCTGAAGAGAAGTATAAAGTAAAGATGTATTATAATTACAGTCTGTTGTGCGTGGCGTAGTAATTTTTACATGACTGTATAGGTTTTAGTTTGAAAATGTATCTAAGGGCTCTTTTTTGTAGAATAACAATTCTGTTCATGTTTAGAATGGTCGTACTATTCAATATTTTTAAACCCTATTCAATATATGGGTGTATTCCGTAATAAAGTGTATTTGTTGTCGTATATTTCCTAAAATATGTTAATAAGAAGATATTAGCGCTTATTTTATTACTTATTTCATCAATGTATTTATTGAATCATTTAATTATTCCTTTCATCAATATATACTCCAAAAATGTATGGATTCAATTTGTTTTATGGTTTCATTTTTTACATGAACATTATAATTATTTGAAATCTTAGAGTTTCATAAATTAAAGTACATTACATTTGTTTTTCCAGTATTTAAGATTAAATTATTCATGTCTAAGTAGCAAGGTATATGTTCCATTAATTTTGTTGTTTTTTTTTCATTTAGTGTAATGAAGTTTTTAGCATTTGAGGTCTTTAGCATTAAGTCTTAAGCAACTGAGGTCTCATCTGCGTATGATATTGATTTATAATCTCTGTTTCGAGAAAATCATTTACATATAATAGAAAAAGTAGAAGACTAAGTACTGACCTTTGTGGAATGCCTGAAATTATTGTATCAAACTGTATTTTACCAACTGAATGTTAATATTCCCCCAAAATTTCATGCTTTTTAAGTATTCATCTTTAATGTGTCTTAATCTCTTATGGAAGAATGAAAGAATCTGTTTAAGAGTAATTACTGAGTGTATAACTTATTTTGTTTTTGAACTTAAAGAATGATAATAAATCTTGTAATATATTATAGTCTTATAATATTTAAAAAAATGATTTTGATTTATCTGGATTCTGATTGTTAAACAAAATGTAGAAATTCTTGTTTTTTTTATGTGTAAGAAAGAGAGAGTAATTTAACAGATCCCCTTCAAAAGGTTTTTTGTTTTTGGTTAAATATGTTTACTGGCAATTGACTTAGAATTGAGAGTGTGTATTTTCTTCCAGAGCACGATGGCATAGTATGGAAATGGCAGGCATTGTATGCTACACTGGGGCTAATATTATTACAAAAGCTCGAGAGATAGTAGAGCAAGTAGGACGACCATTAGAACTCGATACCGATGGTATATGGTGTGTATTGCCCGAGTCATTTCCTGAAAATTTTGTTATTCATTCTCTCCATCCTAAAAAGTCAAAAGTCACTATTTCCTACATTAATGCTGTTTTAAATCGAATGGTGAAGGTGAGTGATTATTGTTTATTATTATTATTATTATTATTATTATTACGAGGGTTATTCAGTTATTAAAGAAATAAATTGGTCTGGAGAAAAAACAGTTTGTAGGACAAGTTTGGTCATTTTAGGACTTTAAGTTGGCATCACTGGAAAGAGCCCTCGCCATCTGGAGGATCATCATTGATATGTTCTTTACTTCAAAATTATGTTGGACGATGGAGAGTCCTCTTGAAAATTTCACATTGGTTGAACAATGTTCTGCGATTCTCCAGCATGGGTTTGGAGGTACTGCCTCATGCCCCCCTAACTGCCCAAATTTAACACCATCTGATTTCCGTTTGTTTGGTCCACTGAAGGAAACATTTCAAGGAAAGAAGTTTGAGGATAACTAGGATGTCAAAAAATGTGTGGGAAAAGATAAAAAGTTCTTTGCAACATGTATGAGAAAGCTGGTAACCTGTTGGGACAAGTGCATAAATGTTCGTGGGGATCATATTGAAAGTGGGAAAAGCCGTTTGTTTTGCAGAAATAAATTTTTATTTCTCCTGACCAATCTGTCTCTCTAATTATTGAATACTCCTCATATTATTATTTGAAATAAATAAATTACTTTTTTGAGCCCAGAAGTTTGGCAAAATGCTAACTTGTAATTGATAAGATTTAGACTTCCAAAAATAGGTATCAGTTCTTGTGCTGTGCATCACTGTGCTTCTGAAATTCTTGTAGATGATATTAATTTTTTCCTGTTCTCCATCCAATGCTCATTTTTTGTTTTGCTTTATAATGAATGTTTTCTTCCTTTGTAATCATTATTTGTCTTGGCACCAATCTCTATCACACTGGAAACTTTTGCAAGCCTAGATAACATCGCAGGCACTGTCAAGATTTGGTCTTTCTTTGCATGCAGAGGTATGGCAGGAATTTTTGAACCCAGTCTCTGGGGCCAGGAACTATTAAAATGTGTCACAAGAATGTGAGATCATACCAGTCTTGTTTCTTAAATTTGTGACATGAATTCTGCCTGACTTTTTTTAGCCACATGGAATCCCAACCCACTTTTGAGAATGGCCATTTGTGTGTCGTGTGGGTTTTCTTAGAATAGAGCTCTCTGTACTTGATATTCTGTGTCTTAGCCCTGTGTTGGAAGGAACAGAAACAATAGCGGCATTTTCACTGATTTTATCAAGACAACATTGTGAGTTAAATTTGTGGTCATGCTGAAATTCAGCCACCAATTTTCGGTTGTGACTATTAAAAATATTTTTTGTGATAGATGGAGTTAGAGTAAAAATTGGTGATTATATGATTTGCAATCACAATCACAAAGAAAATCAAATCTTTTGTGTAAATGTTAGTGTTCTCATTTTAATTATTGTAAAATTTCTTTCAACTTACCCTTCATGCCATTTGTGCAGTACACAAGATTGCTTATTGCTGTAAGATTATTAAATTATTGGTCAATGTTTCATGCCTTTTTGCACCTCTATTTTAGCCAGAATAAGTGCCTTTTTGCCTGCTTGCAAATTTAGAAAATTTAAATGCCTCTTTGCCTGCTTTTGGCACATGGTTTTGGTTCAATGCTTGAACTTCCGGGCTGTACTTATAATGTTGCCTTAATACGTCCGTACGTTTTTGCTTTTTTGTTTGAAGGATCATTTCACCAATGATGCATACCATGAACTTGTAAATCCTAAAACTTTGGAGTACAAGCAACGCAGTGAAAATTCTATTTTCTTTGAGGTGGATGGGCCTTATTTGGCTATGGTCTTACCAGCATCTAAGGAAGAAGGGAAAAGACTAAAGAAGAGATATGCTGTTTTCAATTTTGATGGATCTTTAGCAGAATTAAAAGGGTATGTTGATATTTGTGTTCCTGGTAATTGATTTATTAAATTCACAATAGTATTTTATTATTTTCTAAGTAGATAGTATTTAAAGTGCAAATGAATGGAAGAGTTTTCATGTTATATTTGTTTTTTGTTTTAGTTTTGAGGTGAAACGCCGAGGAGAATTGCAGTTAGTAAAGATTTTTCAGTCATCTGTATTTGAAGCTTTTCTTAAAGGAGATTCTTTAGAGAAGTGTTATGAGAATGTAGCAAAAGTAGCAGATTATTGGTTGGATGTCTTGTACAGTAAGGTAAAATGATTGATTGGTTGATTGATTTTTTATTTTATTTTTTAAATTAATGATTATGAAGTGCCATTTTTATAAGTGATTGTTTGTTTGAATAAAAGGCTTGCAACATGCCAGATTCTGAATTATTTGAATTGATTGCTGAAAACCGCTCCATGTCTCGCAAATTAGAAGATTATGGTGGTCAGAAGTCAACATCCATTTCCACTGCAAAACGTTTAGCAGAATTTTTGGGAGATCAAATGGTAAAAGATGCAGGTTTGGCATGCAGATATATTATTTCAAAGAAGCCAGAAGGTGCACCTGTTACTGAGAGGTTTGTTCTTCATTTAAATGGTTTTATGCTTTAACTTGTATTTCTAGATTATTATTTGAACTAGCATGCCCATCTGTAAATGATATGGGAATATAAGATTTAGGATGGCAGTGACTGGAAGAACATTGGTACAACCCAGGCAGATGCTGGTAATTTACTAGTTCGGACTAATTTACTAGCCGGGATTGAGTTCACATACAAATTCTCCGATTTGTATTTTCTATTGTTTCCTTGATCACTTCCAGGCAAATGCCAGAGCCTCACTCTATACAACAGGCAATGGACCACAAGTGACCACCTTTCCCCATCCTACGTCCATCCTTATGCCTAAAGAATGTAATGATCATTTATCCTCATGTCACCCATCCCCCGCAGAAGAGTCAGAGATTCAGGATGAAGCTCACCAGTTGCAAGTCCCCTAAGGCAAAAAGGTTGTCTTTAGGGTGACCAAAAAATAAGGTTACAGATTATTTTAACATTGATGATACTAATGTTTATTTAAAACACGTTTAACATTGTTGGTTGCTTATTGATGTTTAACCTTTCACTACTTGCTTGTGAAATTGTTACACCAGCAGTTGCTTAAACTATTTCTAATGTACTCTTAAAGTAAATACAATTTTTTCTTTTGAAAAGAAAGTTAATTAATAGTAAAATGTTTATGAAGGTAGGAATACTTAATTACCAAAGAAAATTTGAAAAAAGAAATATGTATAAACTTAACTATTTACTGTTTTGTAAAGAAAAGTTCAAAAAAACAGGATGATTATTCTTTGTCTAAAAATATTTTCCCCAAGAATCAAGTTCTGTTTCTGAACTGTGTGGTAAACAAGTAATACTTGTTTCTGAGTGTCTTGCGAGTGAAATTGGGACATAAGTTGCACTACATTTTAATAAATGAATTTTTGTATTAACTGCATTCAATGCTTTTGGGAATTAAACTAGTTCCAAAAGGCGAAACTCTTGGGCAAAATTCAACAGTACAAGTGATGAAGGGTTAACGTGTGCTAAAATACATTACATATACATTGAAAAACATACTTTAAAATGTATTCAATAATTTTCTTTGTTAACTCTTTGTGAGGACATTGGTGCCTTTCCTGGTTGATAGATTAAGTTTTTATTTTGATGGTGAAAAAAATGAAGGGTCTAAAGTTGAAGTGTGTTCTGTGATTTTCATTATCTTCCTGCATGAAGACTTTTATTCCCTGCAGCAGCTTCATCTGTTCCTTTTAGAAGGCTTTGGAATGTTCCTCCTGCCAAAGCATTTATACTGTGAGAAATAGATGCTCAGTCTTTGTAGCTTAATTCCTGAGAGAAGGGCAGTCTTGACCTTTTCATCGATACCATTAATGTGTGCTTGTGGTCTGACTTTCTGTATCCTTTGTCATATCTCAAAAATGTTATTTTGTTTGCTTGGAGTTCTTGCCACTTAAAAATTTAAATGTGCTTACTTGCTTTATTATTTTGTTTTAGTGTGTACTTTGATATTACTTGAAAAATAGTTTCTATGAATGATTTTGTTACTTCCTTGCTTCTCTTATAGAAATGCATTCTGTACCAGTGTTCAAAAAATGAAATAATGTTAAAGAAACTAATAGAGAGATACAATAACATGGTCAAAAAAGTGTTATTTCATGTGTTATGCCTGCACTGAGGCATGTAATAGTCTCACATCCTCTAACTCCTTCAATCATATTTTTAGAAAATCACTCTCTAAAGCACCTATTTGTAAAATTTGAATTTACTTTACCAGAGCCATTCCACTTGCCATCTTTCAATCACAACCAAGTGTGATGCGACACTACTTACGCAAATGGCTTAAAGATTCATCAATTTATGATGTGGATATCCGTGATGTTTTGGATTGGGATTACTATATAGAAAGACTGGGAGGCACCATTCAAAAAATTGTGACTATTCCAGCTGCAATGCAAGGAGTAAGGAACAAATATTTTTATAAACTTATTTTCTCTCATATAATGATTCTGTTCATAAAGCTGGCTTGTATTATGTGCTTCTGATTGCAGATTTCAAATCCTGTGCCTCGTGTTAGGCATCCTGATTGGCTTCACAAGAAATTGCTGGAGAAAAATGATACATTGAAACAACGCAGGATTAGTGAAATGTTTACCAAGAAACCAAAGCCATTAGAATCTGAACATCAAGTAATTATTTATTTTTTATTTATTGCTTTTCAGTTCTGCTTTTCTAATGTTTATCACACATCTTGATTAGTCACAGGATGAAGAAGAAGAAGAAGAAATCATGGATATTGAAGATATTGCTGGTAAAGATTCTAATAGTGGAAGGACTCAAGGTCGTCCTGTTGTAAATTCTGTGAAACGCAAGAGAGCTCCATCTCCTAATGAAGATGAAAATATCACACGCAATTGGAGAGAGGTTTTGGGAAATCCTCCCTCATATGGCACCACAAAGGTTAAATTTTGGATTACTAGCTACACTTAAGCAAATGTGTGATTATATTTTCTACAATCATATGTACACAGGCACAGTTCTGTAATTTCTTCAAAATTGTTATAAGTAGAGTAGTAGAGTGTGTATCAAAATCTGAATTAAATTCCAGGATTTATCAATTTTGCGGATAATAGCTTGTCTGAAATTGTAAAGTAGTATAGATGACCTGTAATACAGTTTATTAGTATTACCTTTTTAATGTTCTAGATGATTCAGGAGAAAGATTTTTGTTGCAACTTAAAACATTAAAGTAGATAACTAGAATATTAAGTGACCCTTCTTGAAATTAAGTGAAAATAAGTATCCTATGGGACATCAATTTAAATTGATTAAATCATAGATTATCATTTAGAGAAATCTCCATAATATTGTAGTATGCAATAGAATTGTGGACTGTTACCTGCTGAGGTGGTAGAATCAAGTTCATTGCAGTATGTGAATCTAAATTAGAATTAATTTATTTCAATTCATTAATTGGTGAAAATTATAAATTTGTATTGAACTTTAATATAAATTTTATAGTTTCAACAATTTTGTATTTTATTTTATTTCAGGAGGAGCATCAATCTTGGGTTGAATTCCATAAGAAAAAATGGGCTTTTCAAGCTCAGCAAAGAATGGCTCGAAGCAAGCGTTCTTGCATTGAGGAAGAAGGAATTATAAGAGTACATGGAGGAGGCTCCAGAGATCGTGAAGGAGTAATCAGAAATGCGGGGTTGGGTGGAACTTCCACATTGGGTGGCTTTTTGCGCAAAGCTCAGCAAACACTTCTCAATACTCCTTGGCAAATACTGCAAGTAAGTTCGTTCACACCTTCTTTTCTTTCATTTGCTCTGCTCTTGCTACTCTCTATTAATGTTTATGTTATACCCACATTTTTTTCTGAAAATATAAATTATTTTTTTGATACAAATTAAATTTCAGTTAAATTTATTGATCCATCAAAAATGAAATAATTTGTACAACATTCAGCATTGACTTGATTTCTGTGTTATAGGTTGTAGAAATGAATCAATCAGGAATATTCAAATTATGGGCATTAGTAGGTAATGAACTGCATCAAATCAGGCTTCAAGTGCCTCGCATTTTTTATGTGAACCAGCGTATTCCAAGGCCAGAACCTGAATCAGGAACCCAGTGTTTTTGGAGAAAATGTAATCGCTTATTACCTCGGTCTCGTCCTGTCTTTAACTTGTATGAATATATAATTCCTGAGGAAATATATAGAGCACTTAGCGAGTAAGTACTTTTTTATATCTACTATATACAGTAGAGTCGCAGTAATCTGAGCCTTACTAATTTAAGATTCCATAAAATTCGAGATGAAAAGAAAAGCCTAATGTGCATCAAGTCACCAAACAAGCAAACAAGTGGGGATAATCAAGACGGCTCTTGATGGATTGGCAAAACTGGATCAAGAGTCACATGCGGCAGTTGTGCCAAAGTCAGTTTATCTGCTACATTATTGTGACTGGTTTGTGCTTTTTTATATATAGAATGATTCATGTAAGCAGGGACTGCTTTGACAGCGACTGCGTGGCCACTCCTAGCAGAAAAGCTGCTAATTATGTCCATATGCTTAATTCACGCTTAATTGATGTATTAATTTGTAAGTGGATCGCTAGTAAATGGCTTCAACAATAGCTCTTGCAATGCCATCGCCTGACATAACATTCACTTGTTTCGCGCTCTTAGTCCCTTCTTAGAGTATCTTGTCTAAATCTGTAATTTAAATAGTATCTGCACATTAAATTTGACTTTGTAATACGTTGTCATTTCAATTTCATTATGGACTTTCATTTTTTCCATGTAATCCAAGTTTTTTGTAATCTGAGGTACCATCAGTCCCAATTACATCAGATTATCGCGACTCTACTGCATTTAAATAATGTATTCTTCAGTATATATTACACTTCATTTTCTTTAGAGAGTTACAGGCTGATTTGTCTGCCCCTGACATTGAAGGAATTTATGAGTCTCAAGTTTCTTTGGAATTCAGAGTACTCTTACGTTTGGGATGTGTTTGTGCTGTGGATAGAGAAGAAGCTCGTCGGATTGCAACATCTGGCACAAGGGATGGTTCTATTACATTTTCATTACATCAGCTCCAATTTCGAAGTTTGGCTCACCACTCCTACCTAAAGGCAAAAGAAAGTGGTAGGTTTCCTTGTACCTGTTTGGTACATACAAATATATTCCAAAGAATGCGATCTGTTTTCTTTTCTTGAAAGAGTGAAAATTATATTTTTGTAACATGTTATTACAGTTGTGCTTTTTATCATGTATTTTCTGAGTTTAAAATTATCATCTGATTATCTGCTTCAAATAATTAAACTTTGCACTAAATTGTCAGAAATATTAAAAATTCTTAGTTTGATCAACTAAATGGAATTGACAATATTTAAATTACAATTTGCATTGATATGTTCACTGTTAATGTCTGACATTTGTTGTGGCTTATAAGGGCCTTTTCATGTTTGAGGCATTATAAAAATTAATATTCCTGAAGTCACAATTAAGTATTTAAGAACTCCACATCTCCAGTTCATCTAAGACTATAACTTGTCTAAGTCGACTCTGCATTTCCATATGTTATTTTAGGAAAAAACGCATTAGCTACATGGAAGCAACCTTCTCTACGTTCTGTGTTTGTTACCAAATTGTCTCACTGACCATGAATTCTTAACTCTGTTACAATTTACAGTAATGTTTTTAGATGTTTTTGTAAAAGGAAATTCTCTTTTATTTTTTACAGGAACTTCTTGACCTATTTGTTTCCCTACATCACACTAACTTCTCACACTTTCATTCCCATATGAATGTAATGAGATTTTGTTTTGCGACTCCGAATTTGGAGAGCTTTTATGTACATTCTGAAATTATTTTTTTGTCAATAGGTTCCTGTGTGCATCACGTATTTTTGTATCATACAAAAGCACCTACTGGTCCAAGAGCTGTGTGGGGATTATTTTTGGTACCTGCTAAAAAAGCATTTGTTTTTGTTCTTGATTCAGTTCGAAATAATAACGTACCAAACATGAATAAAATGTATGAGGCTGAACGAAATGAAAAGTAAGTTCTCAAAATGAATCCATTATATGACATTTTCAGTTTTATTTTGTCCACCTTCTCTAAATTATTTATTTTTACTTTCATTGAAATGTGTCATTTGCTATGCAGAGTACACTTGTAGTAGTAGTAGTAGTAATAGTAGTAATAGTAGGAATGCAAGATCTGGTGCGATCCTTGTTGATCCTAAAAGGATATTCAAAGCAGTTGGTTGCCAGCCTCTCCTTCAAAATGTCTCTTCCAACTTGCAAGTTTTCTTCATTCTATTCGGTCTGGTGCCATATTCATTTCTTCTGTCCATGTTGGTTGCTTTTTTGATTTCCTCATCTCGTTTTCTGTCTTTCCTGTTTTGGGGTTCCGACCAATTATTCCTATCATCTTGTCTTTCTCCAAGGAGTCCAATCTTCTTGCAATATAACCAAAGAATTGGAGATTTTGTTTGAGGACTCTGGCTTCTAACGAGCATTCAGGCTTCACTTCTAATATGGATTTATATATTTTTATCTGTCTGACAGATTTTCAGCAGTTTCCTCCAACACCACATTTGTACAGTATCTATTTTTCTCTTATCAATGGATTTTAAAGTCCAGCCTTCACATCCATAAACTAAAACAGAAAATATTACAGTTTGTATTAGCTTGGCTTTTGTCTTCATTGATAACCCTGAGTCTTTGATGAATTTTTTACATTTTTTCATGGCTGCCTTTCCCAAAATAATTCAGTTTTTTATCTCTTGAGTGCAGCATCCATCTTTTCTTACAAACTCCCTACTTACTCCCAAAAACTTAACTTTATTTGCTGATCTTAACTGTTCACTAATTATCTGTATTCTCTTTTTTGTGTCTTGTTATCATTACGATACTTTTTGAAGTTCAGCCTGAACCCTGATTTTCAGCTTTCTTCTGTCAGTTTCTGTAATAGTAACTGCTCTAGACCTTCCTTACTTTCTGTTATTATTGTAGTATCATCAGCAAAATGAATATTATTGCTTTAGCGTTCTCAAATTCTTACCCTTACATATATTTCATCCAGTTTTGCTTTCCTCATGATATTTTCAGTATATAAGTTAAAAAGACCTGAAGAGAAGATACATCCTTGTTTGACTTCAATACTTCCTTCTGTTGTTTGAACTTTTGCTTCCTGATCTGTATAGAACAGTATTAATACAGTTGAATGCCCTGGTATGCCAATGTTTGTTAAGGTAATCCATAACAGATTATGGCCCACATAGTCAAAAGCTTTAGAATAGTTCAAAAACATAAATATAGATTCCTTTGGAATTCACTGCTCTCTTCCATTATCCATCTAAGATTTGGTCTCCACATCCTTTCTGAGCCCACCTTGCTCTATTGAAAGTTCTCTTCTCATGAAACATTCAAATCTTTTGTTTGTTATTTTAAGCAGTGGTTTATTTAGATGACATATCAGTGCTCTTGTACTATTGTTGTCGAATGAAAATGGTTCCCTTTCATTCAGGGGGCCATTCCTTCCTCCTCCATATCAAAGATTGCAAAGATCTACAATCTTTCCTGTAATTGAGTCACCTGCAGTTTTTATCGGTACAATGGGTATATTATCAGGCCCAGGGGATTTCCTATTCTTTAACTGTTTAAGTGCCCACATGACTTCCTCCTTTAACATTGGGGGTTTCTCCTCTTAACTTGTTGCAATGAAATGTCTGTCAATATTTGTATCCCTCTCATAAAGCTGCTGACAATATACTCTCTGAGATTCCCCCATCTTTTAACTATATCTTGCCTGGAAGTGAGAATATTACCATTACCGTCCTTAACTGCACCTATTCTAGGTTTGAATTCTTTATTTATGTCTCTTATAATCTGAATCTTGGCCTAGATCTTAAGGAGGCTCCACATATTTGGCATTCACTGAGCAGCAAGCTTCTCCTTACCCAATCCCAAACAGCTAATGTGTACAACGAATGTCCGCTCCCTTTGTTGTGTCGTAAAGGCCGACACACAGATGGCAAGCATCAAATATTCGTCTCTCAGAAAATAGCAAGCAACTCATCCACACTACTCGGGATTTGGGGAGCGGTTGCTTGCTACTTGCCGAATAACGAATATGTTAAGCTGCCTTCGGGTTATATTCTTCTGCCTCCTTGCATTTTATCACTTATGAATTTCGCTTTATCTTTTCTTGCTTTATATTGAAACATTCTTGTAAGCTCTTGTACCTTTCCCCAATTTCCTGACTGCTTTGCAGCCCTTCTTTCTTCTGCAATTTTGATGGTTTCCATTGTTACCCAGCATGATTTGTTCCGTTTTTATGTCTTTTGTATGTGCTTGTCCGCCCCTTCGATGACTATACTTTTTACAGATTCCCAAACTGCTTGTGGATTTGTTTGTGTACTATTTAATTCGCTCACCCTCCTTGTAATGGCTTGTTTATGTGTGTTTGGAATGTTTTGCACTTAATACTTAAGATTAAGTTTTTCTGTCGCAACTACTATTGCATGTAACGGTATGGTAACTGTGAGAATGGCACGATATGATGATGTTAAGGTGTGAAAGGACAATCACAATACAACCACGCCCGAGACGGGACTCGAACCCTTGATACTTCGGTTCCAGATTGGCTGTCTTCTTTGTTATTTTTAGCCTGACTGTAATACTCATCATCAATTATTAATGGGCTGATCCAGTCTTCTTCAAGTATTGTAACATCTTGTATGGAGGATTTCCATTTACGATTTTCTAGGATATAGTCGATTTGATTTCTGTATCTACCATCTGGAGATGTCCACATGTGTAGATATTTCTCCTGTTTCATGAACATTGTATTTGCCACAAACAAGTTGTTTCGTGCACAAAATTTAATTAATTCATCTCCCTGCTGTTTCTATTACCTAATCCAAATTGCTGTGTTGTATATTTTATTACTTCCCATTTTCTCATCTTTAATATTTCTTTCCACTTTTGCATTCCCATCACCTAGAATAAGCACAATGTCTCTTCTTCCTGATTTGTCTATGTTTTCTTGTATCTGGTTGTAGAAATCTATTATAGAAGCCCTTGAATCAAATGTAGGTGCATAAATTTGAATAATAGTTACATTAACTGGAAATGCTTAAATTTTTAAACTTATTATCCTGACATTGATTGTTTTATATTGGAGGAAATTGGAGGATTTTTTTAATTCCACAATTTGTTTTGTACGCTTCTATTACTGCTGAAAAGACTTATTGCATTGTTTGCATGTCCACATCACCCAAGTATCCTGTTTTGTTTGTGATTTTATATATTTTTTTTTGTCATTTCGATGCTATCTGTATGAAAGGGTTTTTTGCATTTTCCTAGGCATCTAACATATTGATTTTGTGCCGGTTTTGTGCAAATTTTACATTCATCATGTTCACTCACACAGTTTTTCCTTTTGGTAGCTGTTGTCGTTACGTATTACTTCTGAGATTCTTTACTCTTTGTGAGTTCTGACCTGCCTGAAAACACTTGTTTAAAATATGATAAAGAAAATAATATACACAAAAGGTTTAATCATTTTTATTAATTACTATCCAGAGTTAACTTTCGGGAAAACAGTTAGCTTTTTCTTCTATTCCCCCACTCAATGGGTCAGCTTCCTCTTCTTCCATTCCAAAAGATGCCTGCCACCAAACGAGCTGTAACCAGCATGTTTTGCAGTTTTCATATTTTTTGACCATGTTGTGAACATTTATGGGTGATCCACGTGTCTTGGGCAAGACCCACTGAGGATGGGAAAAGTTTTTTTCCTGAAAGTTAACTCTTGGATATTAATTAATAAAAATTATTAAACCTTTTGTGGAGATTATTACCTTTACCATATTATGGATTACCACAAGATATCTACTACCACCATGGAACTTGTTTAAAAGGAAAAATTGCTCTGTTTTCACCATTAAATCACTGTTTCTGTCTTAGTAATAACTTGCAACATTCTCTGCTTTCTAAATAATATATTTACAGCACCTTCCCACTTATGACACTCGTGCACTTAACCTTGTTCTCGTATTTTTTCACTTCTCACTTATCCTATCTTTTCAAGTCTGCATTATTAGAACTTCATTAATAACCCAGTTATTAATATAAGTTCTATTGTTGGGACTCTTTAGGTTTATTATTATAAGTCCTATTGTTAGGACTCTTTCAACACTGGCATTATTCCACCTAGTAGAGTTCTTTCTTTTCTTTCATGGCACACAAACAGAATACTCGTGAACACGTCCCGATGGCACCATCCCGACAGGTATACACTTTTTATACAGCTTTCCAAACACTGCTAATCTCTATCAAATGTTTCATTACATCCTGAACCATTTCCTTTCTTTCCCTTTATTTTCCTTGTGCATCTGCAGACTCATCTTTTCAATTTTTATTGCAAAATTGCTCTCTATATAATATTATTGTGTATATATGAAAAATCAATTTTTAGATTGAAAAGCACCAAAGAAGAAAAACAACTTCCACCTAGTGGCATAGTTTTTGATGTGCGGGCGGAAATTAATTTCAAGGTTGTATATCAACAAATACAGAGGCTCCTACAAGAATACAAAAATGAGAAGAGAGGACCAACTTTATTAGCAATTCAATCACCAATTGGTATGCACTAACAAGTAAATTTGAAATATTAATCCCAAGGCATGTGGACTGGTTTCACAAAATTGGTCCAATATTAGATTGTGCTCAGTAATGGGAAACCCCGTTTTCAGAGTTCATATTGCAGGAACATCTCTGAATGATGATTGAGCTACGCAATGCTAATGTTATTAATTAGAGCTTTCATTTTGAATATTACAGTGTGTTGATTTAAATTAAAGCCATATGACATAAAATCATTCATGCCTTAAACTTTTACAATTTTTTTCTAAAGTTTATATGTTAATAACTGAAAACATTGCATCTCTCAGTTTTAAAAATTGAGGATGAAGTACATGATTTTGAAAGTTCTCTTTCACTTTTTGTCATCTTCAACTACAGAATTATAGGTCTATTGCCTGTCCTTGATTGTAAAGTAGACATGGTGTTTTTAAACTCTAGATATTCTTGATCTCTCCTTACATAACACAGTGTAGAGAAAGTATGTAATGTTGCTAACAACAGTCAAGTTTTTAATGGAGATACACATTTTGGGGGTTCCTTTTACCAACAAAAAAAAATTATTTTTTTTTTTTTTTTGGTTTCTTTCTTTTTCCTGTCTCTCCAAAATACCTATTGATACATCTGTCAGCCTGGGGAATATCCTTTGTTTGGTTAAGTGCAGGTGTTGTTTACAGTCACACGTACAAACCTTTTGGAAGAAACAAAGCAGAAAAAAACACATTTTTTGGTATTGGTGACCCCAAATGTGGACTTCCATTAAAATCTCAACATCTATTTTTGAAGGATTACATAAGTTTCTCTACACTACATATATAAAAAAGTAAAATTGTTTGGTCTGCCTTATTGACTAGAATTAAAATAATGTAACATTTACTCACATTGTAATATGTTTATTACTGTAGTATTACTGTATGTTACATTATTAATTTACAGGCACAGAAGCATTAGATTAGTGATTGAATTGAGACTATTTAATTATTTTCAAATCAATTGATTGTTTTAATAATAGTAAAAGACCATTCAATGAGTGTCTTTCCTTATTACATAGATGTTAAGTATGTTGGTAGATGAGCTTGTAAGATGTAGGTAGTAGATGTTCTCTTGATGGATTTTGATGTATTGGTCATTATTTTATGTAACACTTATGTGCAGATTATTTTCTCATCAGTGGAATTGTTTTGTTTATTAGATGTACCTACACTGACATCATCCATGCCTGCTCTGGGAGAGTTTCCTCAGGTTCCAATTCATGTAAAAGATACAGAAGGAACTTGGGACTTAAACTGGCAACGTTCAGTGCCTCGTAGTATGCTTCGTCATTTTCTCAGTAGTGAAACTGCGCTTCAAGTTTCCATTGAGCAAGCTCGCTACTTCCATGTACCTATAGGCAACATACCAGCTGATCCTACATTATTTGCAGCTGATCTCTTCTATGCAAGACATCTAGTCAAAAACAATTTTGTTTTGTGGTGTTCTCCAACTGAACGTCCTGACCTTGGAGGCAGAGAAGCAGATGATAACAGGTAAACAATATTTTTCAATAATTGTAGTATTATTTGCTGTCTCACTTTTTTTATTTTATTTTTTTTATTTTAGAATGTGGTTGAAACAATTTAAAATGTTGGAATTGTAAATTTAATTACTCTGTGTTTAGAGAGCATTTTTAATTGAAATTTCTTTAGAGAAATGCAGTGCTTGTATATTAAAATATAACAACAAAAAACAACAACAAATTATTACAAAACATGTGTTTTGTAATAATTTTTTTAGTAATAATATGTGTTATTTGTCCTTAACACATCTTTTTTATTTTTTTAATTTTACTTTATATTTTTTAATTATATTTTATTTATATTTTTTCCACAGATTACTGGCAGAATTTGAAGAAGGATCTAGTGTTGTTACTAACAATTCTGGCTGCTACTCAACTTTTTGTGTTGATTTAGACATTGATGGATTAGCTGTTAATACTCTATTGCAGTCTCATCATGTTAATGATGTTGAAGGTATGCTTTATGGTGTAGTTTTTCATTTCATTACATATGATGTGGGTTTTGTGTGTTTTTTTCCTTCGTTTTTTCCCTAAATGCAATAATTGTGGTAATTTTGCTTTCCTGGGAAAGTTGGAACATTTGATCCTGATCATTGTTTCCGTGTACTCTTCAATTGGAATTAAATTTTATTGTAAATTAACTTCTAACTCTTATGCATGAAAGGTATGTTGCGACTGCCCTGTTTTTGTAACGCTCTTGTGGATACAGCTATTAACAAACAAAGTTATATTATGAGTGTTATTACTGCAGAAGCCAAAAGTTAAAAAGTGAGGCAGAGCATAGCAAAGCTGAGATTTTTAATCTGGACGAGGTAGTAACAACACTAAAATTTAATGGTATGTTCATTATTTTATCAGAAAAAAAAAGAAAAAAGAGTCATCAATGTCAATATGATATGTAATATGTATGTAATATGTCAAATACGTTGTGTGCAATGGCGCTAATGCATTCTGAGGTCCTGCATAAGCGGTTCATGTCATGGCATTATTTTCAGTTGAGTCTGTGAGCAGTTTGAACAGGAAATGTAATAATTTGTCTTATATAAGATTGACTGTCACTATTTCTTCCCAAAGAGAAGAGAAAGATGATGTGCAGGGGTTGTCTGTAGGGAAATGATAAAAAATGCGAACCTTACAAAATGGAAACAAAACCAAATTTCTAAATATTTTTGTGAAAAATGTAAAATAAATGTTAGTTTAGATCATGCCAAAATTATTTGTGGAAATTGTATTTAATATTATTTATTATTTTGTTTTGCGTTTTTTGTCAATTTTTATCTTCCTCACCATAAGTATTTAGACAAGACGTCTGCAGTGTAGTATTAATTAACAATGACATTGGGGTACATGTACAATCTAAATAAAATACGTATTTTAGTAAGTAGATCTTCAGATCATTTGCATTCACAAGAAGTTGCAGCTATATCTAAGAAATACATTGCGGGCACTGGCATGATTCTACCTATTGCGGACACTCCTAGCTTAGAAAAAAAAATTATTTTATCAACTGATGATCACTGGATATTGGAATTTCCCTGTACCATGGTGTTTTTTGTTGCCTACAGTACCGGAAAATTCCAATATTGATAAAGTCCTTCAGATGAAGGGTTATAAGAAGGTTGCCAAACAACTGGTCCTGGGTAATTTTTCTCAAGGCATGTATTATCACTAAACAATATATATGTATATTATGTTCCAGGTACTAGTGCCGGTGTTTCTTTTGATTCAATTCCCCAAGCTTCTTTAGAAGAAATGATGGGAGCTCCTGGTGCTGTTCTTCCTACTTATGATGAAACTGCTCTGTGCAGCCCTGCCTTTCGAGTCCTCCGTTCAACAGTTGGGGCATGGTTGAAAGATGTCACTCTTCACAAAAATGTATTTGCTGACTTTCAAATCCAGCATTTCTATAGGTGGCTGAGATCTCCTAATGCTCTGCTATATGATCCTGCTCTGAAAAGAAATCTTCACAATTTAATGAAAAAATTGTTTATGCAGGTAATCTTTTCAAGTTGTACTTAAATTTACATTAAAGTGTTGAGTAAATATTAGCATAATTTGTTTAATAGAAACTTTGTTCTTCAGAGGGGAAACAAGAATCGAGTGATGGGAATGCAATAATTTTGCTTGAAAAATGTGAATAGTTGTGAGAATTTTTTGGTTAATTGGTGGATAACTTGTATATCTTCAGGAATTGTTTTCCCTGCAAAAGTAAATAAAAAAATAATTGTTTTCACTGAAAAAATAGAAAGACATATCTTTCATGATGTCAAGACATTTATTTAAGCTTACTGCTGTGAACCTTTATATGATATAAAATTTCAGAAACAAATTACTATATATATTATTATCACTAGTAAATGTATTAACTCATGTGATACAATGTTTTAGTGACAAGACTGTGAAATTAAATTTCTTTTTTACCCGTAATTCTCCATGTATGTCAATTATATGCTTCCATATATGTGCAAAAACTTCTTAAATATTGTGAAAATCTAAATGTTCAAAGCCAATTGGCATAAGTGAATGAATAAATGAATAAATAAATAAATAAGCAAATAAATAAATAAGTAAATAAATAAATAAGCAAATAAATAAATAAGCAAATAAATAAGTAAGTAAATAAATGAATAAATGAAAAAATAAATGGGTATGTGGGTGAATGGTGTCAGATATCTCTTTCATTGCTCATTTAATGACTGAGTCTCATCTATTATGAATTGTTTGTAAGTAATACTAAGTAGCAGAGGGAAAATATCTACTATGGTTCTTGTAAATTACACACTTATTTAGTTTTTTCATTCTTCAGAGTGCAGTGAATGATGATTTGGATACTTCAAAACACACTTGATGAGTGTTTTAAAATTACTGTTGAATGCTTAATCATGTGTGTATTTTCAGAAAAATTCAGAAGATAATTTCTTTCCATATTTCTTAATTTCAGCTTGTAGCAGAATTCAAGAGACTGGGATCTGTGATTATATATGCAAATTTTAATAAGATACTATTAAATACTAAGAAACAAAATATTGAAGATGCTATTGGTTACATTGAATTTATTGTTCAAAGTATTAGGAATAAAGAACTCTTTCATAGCATTGAAATATCATATCAACATTGTTGGGAATATCTCATGTGGTTAGATCCGGTTGGTATTGTATAACACATTTGTAATGGATTGAGAAGTATAAAGGCATGTTTATAAATAAAAACAACAAAATTTATTTCAGGTAAACCGTGCTGGAGTTCTAGGCAAATTGCCAAAACATGCAAGTAGTGCTGGATATGGTACCTTTTTGTCATCAAATACTCAGGAGGAAGAACTGAATACAAATGAAGATGAAGAAGAGGTATAGTTTCTAACTATTAATTACATACAGTGATACCTATACTTACAGAAAGTATATGCAATACAAATAGAAGTGAACAGTTTTTATTCTATTTATTTTTTGCCCTTTTTTACTATTACAAATTAGCTGATAGTTTTTATTTACAGTGGAAATTTCATTACCAGATGGAAAAAATCTACATTTCAAAGCAAATTTGAAATATAGGAATGATTACTATTTTTATGTTCTTGTATTTGTACATTTATATGGAGTAATATAATTAGTATAGGGAATGTTATGTAATGCTGTGGAAAATTGGTTTCAATCGAAATATCCGTTTTTGGGGTCCCCAGATACTGAAAAAGTTGTTTTTTTCGGTATTTGATTTCAAAATTTCTCAAAAATGGCTCCAAATTTTATTTTTAAATTTCTTGTAAGTGTATAGTGAAATACACTTATAAAGATAGTACAAGTTCAATATTCAGAGTTTTCTCTAAATTTTTGAAAATTGAAAAAGTTAAAAAAAATTTTGACATCGTCCTACAACTTTTTTCTTTTAATGCCATTCACTGATTAGTGCGTAGGCTACTCTCCAGAAGCCCCTAGTGCCTTCTTGTGAGACTTTCCCTGAGCAAGTATACCTAGGGTTGTTGGCCATTGCTTTCTGTAGAGGTGCTGGTGCACCAATTTTGACATTTGATTTGAATATCATGTAGCGTATGCCAACATACAATATGTGCAATCTTATGCAGTAAATCAAATTGAAACTCTGATTGGTGCTACATTGCTAGTGGATTTAATTTTGCCAGGATAGGCGAAGTGCCTTTCTTGGGATTTGTTTTATGTGCCAACAAGCATCTACACACATGCCGTCAAATTTAGACACCTCCCCTGACTTTGTCTGGGTTTGAATGTGGTCTTGGTTTGACCCCTGAGCATGGGATCAGTAGCCCGGGAAGATAACCACTATACCATCAAAGCCAACTTCCTACACCTACAAAATTGAATATAGAGTTTTTATCTTAAAATGAAATTTCTTCTCTGTAAATAGTTCTTTCAAGGCTGAAAGGTCATGTACATATTTTTTTTAAATTTTAGTTTTTTTCATGTACTGAGTAAAATGTGTACAAAAAAAAATATGAAAAACAAAAATTTTTCAAAAATGATTTCAAATTTTTTCTTTAACTTTTTGTTTGTGATAGCGCTAAATGTACTTTATAAGTCATGAAAAAAACATGATTTAGCCTTATTTTTTGTTTTTTCAAAATTTACACAATTGTAATTTTTTTGGCATCTCTCTTATGTCATTAATATTTACAATAATGGCAATTTATACTCATTATACACATTGAATTTTTATAAATGAATGCTTCAAATAATGTCTTACAAAGTTCCTCAAAATCTGAAAAGTTTTCTGTGACCCAAAATTCCACATTTTTAGGAACGCCCAAATGCTTTTTCTTCGAAAGAGGCTCTGAATTTGTTTCTTCATACTTTTTGTCCAGATAGTGCTAAACGCACTGTAGAAGATGACATAAAAGTCATTTTGTGGTATTCTTTTGTTTTTAAAAATTAAGCAAATGTTTTGTTTGTTTTTAATTTTTTCTCATGCTGCTAATATGCACATTTCAAGCTATTTGTTTTCATTATTGCATTTGTGGGTAGAAGTGCTTCAAATGAGTTCCACTGGAGTTTCTCGAAAATTTACAATTATGCTCAACCATTTTTTAAAAACTACTCCAAATTTTTCAATGAAAATGTCCATATTGGATGAGGTTTTTCTCGTCAATGATCTTCTTATAGTAATGTTTTAGTTCAGTCATTAGGAAACCAAATAATGATAAAACTTGTATAAAAAAGGTACTTTGGGTGGCAAGACATGGCAGCTTTATGGCACCACTAGTTTAACTTAAATTCGTATTATATCCTTTCATTGCTGTAAATTAGCATATTTTCAAAAGCAAATAAAAAAAGAATAAAATGGATATTGCTAAAATATTTCCTTTCCAATAAAATTGCAGCCTTCAATCATCATGAATTGGAATTTAGTGGAATTCCTTCCCAACATGGGAGGATGCCGTGACTCATTCCATAATGTTGTTGCTGGTTACATCAGCAATGTGTATATGCACCTTAAACAAACTGAATATCCTCAGACACCAGTACGTCGACGTGTTAACTTAAATTTAAGTCAGCCTTCAACACAACCCACTGGTTTAGGAGGTTTTGCAGACACAGCTGAATATGCTAAACAGTTGATATCTGGGACTCTGGCACAAAAACTTTACAAGTGAGTGATTCTTTTCTAAACATGTAGCTTTTTCCTGATTCCTCATCACAATTTTTACTCTTTCTCTCTCTATTTTACAGATGTACTGAAACAATTCAAGAAAAGTATCGTAAACAAGCAAAATTAGGAGAGCATGACCTAGATGAATCACTTATTCCTGTTTTGTCTAGTTCAGAAGAAAACAAAAAACCAGCTTTAGAATTTGTGAAAGCAATATGCAAGGTAAGAAAATATCCTATCAGGAAGACTTGTTTGAAATTCAATTTTATTATTTTGATTGCAGTTTTTGTAAATTAATTCTGAAAATGAACTTGGTACAGAGAGCCTTATTTAGATTTGTATTATAGGTGTACGACTCAATAATTTAAAATTGTATGTATTTTAGGTGTTGTCACTTGACCCTAGTGTGAAGGAAGAAGTCCTTAATGTCAGGAGGAACATGCTTCGATTATGTCGGATTGGAGAATTCAGTGATGAAGCAGAGTGGCAGGACCCTTGCACAACATACGTTCTCCCTGAGGTGATCTGTAAATCATGTAATCACTGTCGTGACATAGATCTCTGCAGAGATAATCATCGATCAGCAGTAAATGACATGTAAGTTAATAAGTGAAGTAGTATGGTAAATTGCTAATCAGCTCATGAGCAGCTTTCAGAATTATTCTCAAGCTTTTAAATACTAAATTCAATTCATCTAGTTGAGAAATAAAATCAAATGAATTATGACAATGAAAATTTTTCTCCGTGTATCTGTAAGCAGAAAATGGAACAGCTTATTACCTGTTATCCACAGAAACAAAATGAGAATAGAAACAAACATTTTTGTCTAGATGAGTGAAGTGAATGAGATATTGAAAGGCATTGGCTTTTTTCCCCATTGTGAATGAAAAATATATTTTCCTAGTTAAAGGGCGATGGCCATATCATTGATGATACGTATTTTCTGTTTTCCAGTCCTGTATGGAAATGCCCTTTATGTGATAATAGTTATGATAATTCAGAAATAGAGTATTTATTAATGGAAACGGTGAAGAGAAAATCAATGGCTTATGTTTTACAAGATGTCCAATGCAAAAAATGTCTTCAGGTATGTATCAGATAAGCTGCTTTACAAGTACTCCTCACTGTACGTTACAGTGTGAGCTTTCTTTTTGTTCCCACATTTACTGATATGAAGAAGATTAAAGAAAAACTAGTGATGCAGCTCATACTCCTTATATTAGCTATTTGTGATGGTTGTACATTGTACTACAAGTTGAACACTTAAGAAAATTTTGCACATTTCAACTTGATTGTGTATGTTTTATGGATAGCAGCTGAATGTTTCACTTGGGAATCGTTTCATTTATCTTAATACATTACTTTGCAAGTGTTGCCCAACCTGCAAAAACTGTTGCCCAGGTTGGAATTTGAACTTAAACAAGTACATTTATGAGTTCAACATGATAACCAGAAAACTGCCACAAGTCAGAGAGTCCAGAGTTGTACACGCATATGCACATGAACAGAAATAAAATGCATACATACTTTTGCCATTTTGGAGAAAATCTTGTTTGTATATTTGTGAAAAATTGCATGAAAACTTCTGATATTTCAAGAAAACTGTTCTTGAAATGATTAAAGTACCTAAGATTAATAATTAAGAATAGTGTATTGCATTAAGGGGAAGTGTTAAGCCCTTTTTTCTTTTCTTTTCTTCTTCTTTTTTTCATAACATTAAACCCTTTCACTTCAAGTATTAATTATAAGCAACAAGTCGCTTTTAAATTTCAGTGGTCTCTAATGGAGAGAATTTGATTTATGAAGACATTGAATTCCAGAGACATTCTAAATGAAACACATGAGCAAGTTTTGGCGCTCCTAAATGCTAGATGTTGGCTTAGTTGAGACTGCTAGAGGAGTGTTCACTCCTGGCTAAGGTGGACTTCAGTCAGTTCGAATCTTTGTCTAAATCTGTGCTTAGCTGCTATATGCCTGTGGTTAAGTATGGGGGAGAGGCCAGTTGATTCGCACCGAAGTTGATGGGGCATATGCAGCTAAGTTCTAATGGTTTTGCTTCTTATACAAAAATACTCATATATAAGCTTTTATTGCTTTGGAGTGCTCTAGTAGTATAATTTAGCAACATAATCGTTTAACACTAAAAGTTGCAAATACACACCTCTAAGAGAGCTTTAACAATGAGTACACATACAGAGTTTAGCCTTAGGGCTTAGCTTGCACTGTAAAATCTTGCAACACCTTTATCTCAAAAGTTATTTTTTTGTACAATTGTGCATTTTCTCACTAACTATAAATCCAAAATCAATGACATTTTCACAGAATGTTGTATTATTATATTAATATCTACTGAGTTTGTGTCCACCTTTTTCATGCAAAAACTGCATTGTAATAAAATAGATTGACAAAAAATGCAACAAAAACTGCATTCAATTAACATTATTTTAAAGCATTGCATTTATAGATAGGTATCTGATAAATTTGAGTAAATGCGTGAGGTGTACCAAGTTTGATATATGTCCAATTAATTGTTTCGGAGAAAATAGGTCACAAACTTTGAAAATTTCACATTGCAGGCATGGGGTTTAACACCTCCCCTTAAGAAATATTTAGCTTCAATTTTAAAGGTTTAGAATAGGTTTGAAAAAACTACAAATATTGCTTTTGCCGAAGTTCCAAGAGATTTTAATGAAAATCAGACTTATATTGTATTTATAAGTGCGCTTTGCTGTATTCATGCAAAACACAAGAAAAATCTGAGCCTATGTTGAGAAAATTTTGGAATAGTGCTAAAGACCTTATGTAAAGCGTAAAGTGAGGGAAAACAAAGATACAAAAATTCACATAGCATCAAATTCAGCCAGATTGATTGGGTAATCCTTTTTAGGAAAAATTCAGTTGTGGTTCAGATTAGGCATGTCCAACTTGCCTCAAGGGCCACAACTAAAACCTTTAATATGGTTGCAGGCCACATTTTCATTACGCGGGTGATCCACACCTGAGGTCCCTGCATGGCTGATTTCAACAGTTTGCCAGGCTGCTCTGAAACGGGAAGGGGTGGAACCATGATATCAGGCCATATCATGCATAAAGCAGTGAAACACTTTGGGATGATTTGAATTTCTGAATTTACTAGAAAAAATCCTTAAATGTAAATTTAACCTATTTTTACAATAAAGTGGCTGTTGATGCAGGGCAGAAAGCATACACTAGGCACACAACGTGACTAATTAATTTTCGCCAGCCACAGTAAATGGCATCAGAGGCTGCCATTTGGACAAACCTGATTCAGATGTAAATGGTGTTTACTGACTGATGGGTGTTTTGAAATACAAACAATATTTTTTGGTATCTGTAACCCCCAGAAATTGTATTTCATTGAAAATCTTGGTGTAGGTTTGCTCAATTACCGAACTTTCCCTTTACCACATGTATATTCCATGAAAACACAGGAAGCAAGAAAATAATGTGCAGAAATTTCATCATTTCACATATTTATTTTCTATGTCACACACAATTAGCGTTAGACCAAGTACAAAATAGCTTTCAAGTGTTTCTGTATGAAGAGAAGTTTAAGTTTTAATTTCTCAAAACTTGCTAATTCTGTTTTCTGTTTGGCCAAATAGTTTCACTTCATGACATGATCTTTATCTTCTTTCACTTTATTTACTAAAAACCTTCTGTATGGACAATCATCTGTTGTACAGCTCTTTGAAGTTCACACTTTCCCAAGTAACTATTAGTACCCAAACTTAATGATGGGTTTTATATAGAATCCTAAAATCCATTTATGTATTGTAATTAATAAGCCGATAATTTTTCATAATACTGTTTTTGTTTTAGATCAAAATGGAGAATATGTCAGAATATTGCAAGTGCACTGGAGAATTTCAGACTCTCATAAAGCAGCAAGAATTACTTAATCAGTTGAAGACTTTTAAAACTATTGCAGAAAGTTTTAAGATGCCAGTTTTATTAGAAGCCACTGATTGGGCACTGAGAATGAATTCTGGGAAGCCTGTTAATGTTTAATAATCAGTGTAGTTATTACTCTACGTGTAGGAATATTTTGAGCTATAAAACTCAGTACTGAGTACTGTGAAGAAGTGCAAAATTTACCTAATCACTAAGACAAATCTGTTTGGTCAGTTATTATTCACTTCTTCAGATAAAATAGTTGTAAGCTGAAATTATTTGTATAGTTTTTAGTTAGGTTTATGTAATACATAAGCTATCTTAAAAATCTGTGACAATGTAACCAAGGTCTATTTTATGAAATTGTAAGTAAGTTTGAAATTTGAAGAAAATATATACCTATTTGAGAATATCGTCGTCGTCATGATCAGAAGATAGAAGGTCTGGTGTGTGTTCCTGTGGTGTGTGTTCCTGTCCTATTTGAAGACAAATAGATAATTACCTAGATCTATATGTCTGCTAACACATGCCTGCTTTTACTTTCAGGGAATCTAAAATGTGATTATGCTTAAATCTGTCAATACACACTATACGAAATAGTATTCGAGTAAAAATCGTCTAAGCCGGAATCATTGGGGTTCAACATTTTCTTCCATCTTGTACAGGTTTCTGACTTATTCAGGTTGTCAATTCAGAAAACGCAATTATTCAAAGATAAACTAGGTTGTATGAGTAGTTTATGTCACCTAAAATCTACATACAAAGAAAGGAAGATGTCCTTTGAGACACAAAGAAAGTGACATACAGAAAAACAACACGAAACCTGAAACAAAGAACTCCATAAAAAGTACAAGAAATATTATTTTTTTTCAATATTTGTAGGAACAGATGAATTCATCTGATGATTCAGGCTTTGACTATTTGCCTAGGTCTTTGTGAATATTGTGGCAACCATCTATATAAAAAATTGCTTTTAACTCTATCTTGATTTTCTTTAATTTTCAAGGTGTCATACACTTGGATTTTCCATTTTCAATTTCGTTATGAAAGCCTTGGCAGATGTATTGCTTTGTTAGAGTTCTTCAATTAGTGTAATTTTCTTTCCAAGAGTTAACATTTTCAATTTTCTGTCTCACATCATAAACACTTGAATAACACACCTGCAATACTTCAAACTGTACAACAGTAAAACATTTAGAACCACTGAACCTGAAGCACAACTTATGAGAACTGTGGATCACTTTTTGAGTTTCTCTTCGTATGGCCTTGTGAAGGCCAGTGCTATTTTCAATAAAGTGGCGTTCACACAAGTAACATGGGAATTACACTTTTCAGACAAGGATAGCTGAGGCAACAAATGTACAAGCACATCTCCGAGTGCCTCATGGTTCAATGTCGCCCCACTTATAAATCAAAGTTTCATTTTAAAACTAATATTGTTTTCCATCTTATTCAGAATTTTTCATACCATCGTGCTAAAAATTCCTTTCAGTTTCTGCATTGGGCAGGTATCTGGCTTATCCAGTGTACTTTGCATTGGAAAATAGCTAATTCTGAAACTTTTCTCTTGTGCAGATTTCAGCCTTTGACAGGGTTTACTGCATTGCTTACATCACGACCATCGCACATTGCTGTTCTGTCCCTAACAATTTTTAAAGTCTGTAAGGCTTCATTTTGCCTGAGGCACAAAGGACTCCCAAACTAAGCATTATGCAAATAGTGTACTATTGTTAATTGCTATTACTAATCAGAATTTTGATGCATCATAACCATTGCTTGTAATGAAGGAAAGAGCTTAATTTTTTCTGACTTACACTAGGTAGCAAGTAGAAATGGATTGTGTGCAGTTGTTGATTTCACTAAACAATGCTATTCAAATTATCAAATTCTAGTGTCTCATTTTGTCTAAACTGCAACTGAATAAATTCACATTTATAATATTGTAATTGTTGGGAGAACCTCTTCATTAATGTATTATCATTACAAGGTGCAAGAATACAAATCAATGCCTTATTTTCTGTGGTGAGGTTCTATTTTTCCTGACCATGCAAATTCTGCTACGCTCCTTTCACTGTTTAGCAGAGAAAGGAGGTGTTACTCTGGCTGTGAAACATGCTATTTGAATTTTGCTCATGGCTTCATTTAGGCGTGGTGTTTTACATGCAGGAAATTACAACATGGGACACACATATTACAAATAGTAATATATAGAGTGATTTTCGTGTAACATCTTTCCCAAAGTTGGACATTACTACACTTGAAAAGTCTAAAAATATTTGAAATTAATGCATTAAGAGTTAATGTATTTCTTGACACCAGAATTGTGTTGGTAGAGATCAAAAGAGGTTGTAAAATTCTTATCTGTAAAGAGTTGTTGGCCCTACATTTTTCTTAGTACTTGTACATTCAGAAATTGTGATGAACTGGCAAGCTGTGAGCCACAAAAATGAAAGTATGAGACTAGAATGTCCTACTTGTCTATTGTAAGATAAATATGAATTTTATATATTTGTGTGTACATTTCAAGAAAACCCATAAATAAATGATTAGGAAAGGATTTCAGAGAATTTTACTTTCAGATTATACCTACATTTTTATTAATGGTCAACATAACGTTTGTACATTTTCATTTAAGATATTGCGATTCTAATGGTGCTAAGCAGCTATTGCTGCAAATTGATGGGATCAACTTCAGGTTCTGGAAAAAGAAGTTATTACTAATTAATATAACTGAATATATATATATCATTCTTATGAGTTTCACACTGAAAGGTGATTATTTTACTTCTCAATTACATTGAATAAAAATTCAGTTGCTCATTGTGAAACATAACCTCACTCTTAAATTTTATTAAATACAGCAAATTCCTTCAGAAGGATTACCTTTAAAGGTAAATGTGGGGAATTTTGTCATGTCCACACCTTCGCCACCACCATACTGTTTGGCTACCTTTTCCAATTCTGCATTTAATTCCCTCTCGATATCAGGGGTGGGGTCGACCAGCTTTCCTCCCGCAGCACTGAAAAAGTTACAATTAACTAACGAAATTAAAAAATACGCTGAAAAATGTGAATATATATCATCTTACTCAGATTTTTTCTTGTATTCTCTAATTTTGTCAATGAAGAGTTGTTGGATAGGATCACTAGCTTTCTGAAATACGGGTGCAGATACTCCAATATTTCTTCGAAGAACAATGGGAAGTCCTTGTCGGACTGAATTAAAAAGCTGTGACACAATCATCCTGTAACAAAAGCATTATCGAAAATAATAGGCATTAAATGTTTTCACAAACCCATGGAGAGAGCTCAAATAATGCTCAGCGATTGTACACAACTAGGAAATACTTCTATTATATTTAAATCCGAGCAGTATTTGAACGATTTATCCCTTAAACCATCATTCAAAAGATTTCTTAATTGTAGATTTTAGTTAAAATCTACTAACCTTGTGTAGGTTGTTTTATCAGCTGCCCCGACCAATATGGCGCAGAGAAGGCGAGAAGACTACGTGAATGAAACTAATCTACTGAAGACGTGCTATTCCTTACGTAGTACGTTTATAGGTTATGAAATAAATCAAATAAATATTTTTAATGGTCTGATATGTCATCGTTCACTTTGATGAAGATAACTAGTATTTACTTTCCTGTGGACATTTTTCGTACTCAAGATCTCATTCAAACGTCACGAGCAGCATGGAGTTTCTTAGCCAATCACATTAGATGTTTTGTTTCATTCATACGTTCACAGGAGCAGCACTCGGCAGCCATAATCTCTTGGTTTTATGTTGCGAACAGTAGTACGAAGTGTGCGTGTCCTGTGTTTTTCGGTTTGTTGACTGGAAGCTAGAGATTTGAGTGTTGTATTTAATCTCCGAAACAAAGAACGTGAGAAATCTCGCTGCTCTTTGTCAACTCGGTGAGTAACTAAACAAATCTTTGTAGTATAAATGTTTTCCGTACAGAGTGTATTCGCGCGCCCGAAGCGTGCGCGCAATGTGCGCGTGGGTGGTGTTTACTGTCAATGATGTTTTGTTACTCTAAATGGAGTGTTTGATGGATTTTTCGTTCATGAAAGGAATTGTTTCCAATGTTTCGAGAGATTTTTTTTCTAAAACAGAATTTTGGATGTCTATTCAATTGTTAAAATTATTTCAGAATTAAAAATGTTTCAGACCTGTCATGTGAAAATTACATTTTAGACAGTAATAATATTAAAACAAATACGAAAATATATTGACTGACAGCATTATTTTCTGTTATTTGTTAGCACTAATTGATTTGAAAATTAACCACTATGAGATGTGAATACGAACACTTAACGTGCATTTTTAACTATTTGAATATAAGCAGGGGAGTACTTTTAATTGTACAGAACCGAAACGTTTGATTTTGAACTATAGACAGGGTTCAAAAACTTTTAATATTAAATGAACTCTTTTATTTATCCCGAAAATCAGTGCCAGTACTGCGTTTCTGTATCAGCGTATCTCAATGTACTTACCAATTTTGGAATTGGTATAAAAGTAATTGTTGAATGGAGTGTCATGACTGGTGATTGGTTTCCCTGTTCCTGAATTCTGGACTGGGTTAGTGACAACTCATAGATACTTCTGCATGGGTGTTAGAGATACCGGAAATTGGGGCGGAGGGTAAGTTGCAATTATCTATATGTATGCAAGTGTATGTGTACGTGCATGGCAGGAACATCTGTTTTGAATACGCGGATGCCTAGCAGTGACATTCCTTTCTCACTGGGCAAATATTCAGTGACAGCAGACGGGAGAATCATTTTCCTGCCGTTAAAACAACACAAATCACCCTTGAAAAGAGGAACTGACCCATTTCTTAACCCTAGCAAATTGTTGCAAATTACGTTTAGGGAGTGTCCGGCTCGTTCCTTAATTATTTGATAACATCAGTGCGTACTGAGGCTCATTTGTTTTCTTTGTCACATGCTCTGATGTATGTACAAGTTCAGAGGGCGTCAAATTTTAGAGCGGAAGAGCATGAAAATAATGCCAATCAGCCTGTGTTCCATGTTCGCATCTGTCCCTCAATATTCCAAATGGTAGAGCATTGCAATTGCATTTTCGGCGTTCGAATGTAAATAATATCTATCCCGCGCTCTACTTCTGCATTTCGTAAATGTAAATGTCTTACAAGTTGGTTTTTTTATTAACATGAGTGGTCTGGGCTGTTTATCTTAAGATGGATAGTATGTGATTCAAGTGACATAGATGAGCGCAAATTTCAATGGGACTAGAGTAACTTACCCTCTGAATCAAGTCGCGTGTTATCACATTAAAGTGTAAAGTAAGTAGGTTTAATGATGTTAATGTGCTAGGTCGGTATAAACTTAAAACCGGAAGGATCTGACAATGCTTCCTTTGGTAACAACATTGAATATGTGATCCAAGTTTTGGCGAACGTCACTCCGTTCATCTTCTCTTGTGCTTTCGAGCAAGAGGAGATCCATGGGCGAAGAGGTTATGCTTTACATTACATTTCTATCGTTCAACAACAGAGCGAAGATTGATATCATGTTTGTGGTTACTCCGTCGTTAAAAAAAGAAGATCGTTTTTGAAGAGTGAACTGAGATAAAGATGCATTTCAGAAACATTGAGCTGCGAAACACTGTTTGAAAACTTTTAAAGAATTTTGAAGTACGCAGTCGTCTGTCCGCTTTCAGATCCCGGAACAAGCACACATTGAAACGTTTGCAGATTCAAAAAATCAATATCCTTTTATAATTCGTATTTTAAGGAGGTATTATGTAATCGCAACCTTTGTTACTGCAGTTATTTTAGAATTGATACAATACCATCTGACACTATTTTACCATTTGTAAAAATATATAATTCGAGGTGTACAACTGCGGGAATAAAAAAAGGAATTCAAGACCATAAAATATTGCCAAGAAGATCTTAAGTTTTCGAAAGATTCTTGATTTCCGTCTTCTCCAACTGAACTGCGCGCCCTTTTCTTGTAGCCCACACGAAACTTCAGCATACGAGTAATTCAAATCTCGGCGGGTCTAGTTAATATGTAACAAATGCATGCAGACCGATATTCGGAAATAGCAAAGTTTAAGCGCTTGAGGATACTTTTAGAAGAAACAAAGACAGCAACGTCGAAGCCTTGCAACATTTGCATCAGGTATAATTGCATGTAAACCTTAGCGTCTTCGAAAGTGTTTAAATAATTAATTTTGCAAAAGACAAAACCTAAAGAAGACGACAGTCAGCCTGAAATCGCGTGGTTTAAAACGAGGTGTTGAAGACAGTGATCAGTTTACGGCGAAGAGCAGGGAGGCGAGCGCGGAGGAGCAGACTGCACGACCTTGCGAGCGTCGTCCGCGGCGATCCCTTTTATGATATTATAAGTCTGCTGTACGGTTATTTTGAGAAGAGGAGGAGGGGCGAGGCGGGGCGGGGCGCCAAGGAGCCGCGGAGCCGGTGCGCCTACCGAGCGGCAGGCCATTTTCCTGCTTGTCCGGGGTGTGGCACTGCGGCGGCGGCGGCGGCAGCAGCAGCCAGGTTCAGTGAACCGGACGGTGGTCAGCGACGCTCCCGGGCGCTGCCCGAGGCAGGCTGGACGGACCCTTGCGACGCGGCGACGAAGCTACATTTTACGTGATCTCGAAAACAAGACACCTGGGAGAGGAGGCCTCATGAACTAACCTGTCGAGGCACATGGAACTTGTTGCTCAGAGAATCACTTGATGTCACTGCAGTGCCGGTGCTGCTGCTGCTACATCGGGGTTCGAGTCCCGACGGTGGAAGGAGTTTCGAAAATTGATAAATAGCTGCGTGGAACTCAGATCCTGTGCGGAGAATTCTAGCGGCCGGCTGCTCTGATCGGTAGTTTTCCGTGGTTTCTCCAATGCCGGGACAGTTCCCTAACAAAGGGTCCATGGACCGCGTGCTATCTTCCCTCCTCTTCCTTGATCTATCCTCACCCCTTACTAACACACATATACGCTCTTGGCGGAAGACCAATCGGGAGCTCAGAGCTGGTCCCACTGGTGGAAGATACCTGGTTGGGGACCCTCCCTTCTAGCTGACGTGTACGTCGGCGCCGAATCTCACCATCCAGCGGGGGAAGATCACCGCCACCTCCCGAGGGGAAAACCCGTTCTACAAGTAGGAAACTAATGACCTTGGCAGTTGACGCGCCTGAAACACGAAATAATCAATCCTTCGGAAATTGGAGCATTATAGTCTTACGAAAAGGCTCCGCCCATAATGTCTCCTAGAAAACCGTAGGGGTCCCTGGAATGTGTCGATGTGTATTGCGTTTACTGTCAGCATGAGAGCGTTTCCACGTAAGGAATAAATTCAAAATAAATGTGCTTTAGACAAAAAATGTCAGCTTTAACTCATTTAGAGCAGATGCCCCCAAAAAGAGGGCGGGGGAATACCTGGGACAATTTGGCACCCCGTCTTAATTAGAGCCTCGATATTTTTTCATTCAAAACAAAATGTACATACTTCTAATTCGTATTAACCGCTGTTAGTTTGCTTGTATGGAGAAATGAATTCTGTTTACGTAAAGGGTGGACATTTTGTATCAAATAAGGAGCCCCTATGGATCTACGGACCCAGGCCTCTTTTTTTTCCCTAGACTCTCCTGGTTCAGAGTTGTTTTGAGTTTCACTTCATTGATTCGGAAATAGTGAACAGAGCGAGGTTTAATTTGGATATTATTTAAATGAAAACTGAAATATGTAGCATTCATTTTGAACACACGTTTTCTCATATTTCAAAAGAGTATATGTTATATTTTTAAATGTATTGTATGTTTTGAAGAAAACATATATTTAAAGGGCTTAAAGTTGTCTTGAATACAAAACTGGGAGTGTAATATTTCGTTTTTCAGAAATAGACATGCTCTAGTACCTTAATAACAATAATAATGAGGGAAGTGCACAGGATGCAAGGTTTAATTGCATTCTGATTTTATTCGTATCCCACTTGGATCCAATCTCGAACTGTCGAAGAATCTATTTTGAAATCTTTTTCTGTTAATGTTAGTTAGAAACTACTTTGTAGACTTCGGCAAATGGTGCCGACAGTAGCCTCCGAGCTAAGTTTCTAGAGGTTAGTTCATTGACCAAGCGCTAGGGGCTGTATTTTCTTTAATACACGAAATTGATTCTTTCCATTTCTTTCGATGAGACTGGCCCACACATCTTCCGATATGTATCATACTCGTGTCATTTTCCTTTTGAATAAATCTGTTGTGATGAGTTAGTTTCCTGAGGTGGCATATTTCACTTGTGGCTCTAATCAATCCGATTCTTTTTGTGTGGAGCATAAAGACAAGACTTGCCTTTGTAGGAGGATGCGTCATTATTTCGAAGCGGGATGCCAGCACCTGTCAACTGGCCTCCCTTTCTGAAGTCTGCCGCAACTGTTGGTTTACAACAAATTCGCTAACTGTGAACATCTCAGCGAGTCTTTTGCTGTTTAAATTAATTTTGAGACTGAGATAACATGACGTATCGTCTGAAAATTTGTATCTTTTGAATTGACGGATTTCAATATTTGAACTGCGTCTACTGATGATAGTCCTGTGGCTAGTGGGACCCTATAGCACTGAGATTGTCTGTGATCATAATTTAATATTATCTGATTGCCTCTCGATGATTAACAGCATATCCTTATACGCCTTATACATTTTATAGTTCAAGGGCGCGCAGACGTATGATTTCCCGTTCTTTTCGCAGGAAAAAATAAGTTCCGTCCCTTACTCCTAACGAACCTAACTTCAGTGAGAGGTCCCCTTCGTCCTTCTATTACAACATAGAGTCAGATGATCTCGAACATTTTGTGAAGTGTGGGTGTCCAAAGATCAGATGTATTTCATAAGCCTGTTTAAATGCATATCATCCCGCATTTGACATTGCGGACTAG